TCTTCAAATAAAAATTGGACGCCTCGGTACTTCTTCATCGGCTGTCTCCAACGGAGTGCTCCAACTACCGCGGGATCAAGTTGACTCCCCATACCATGAAGCTGTACGAGCGCCTGGTCAACACTAGGCTGAGGGAACTTGTCCCTATCTCGCAGGAACAGTTCGGCTTCATGCCCGAGAGGTCCACCACCGATGCCATCTTCATCGCCAGACAGCTGATGGAGAAGTACCGAGAGAAGCGGCGACCCTGCTACCTAGCCTTCCTGGACCTTGAGAAGGCATTCGACCGCCTGCCTAGGCCTGTACTCTGGAGAGCGCTAGAGAACGTAACTCCGGAACACCTCATCTCCATAGTGAAGGACATGTACGATGGGGCATGTACGATGGGATGCTAAAGCAGCTGTACGCACCCCTCACGGCTTGACAAAGGAGGTAAACATTACGGTTGGGGTACACCAAGGGTCAGCCCTCAGCCCGTTCCTCTTCCTCCTGACTCTAGATGTCATGGCAAAAGAACTCATGGAGGGACCACTGAAAACCATCCTCTACGACATCGCCCTGATAGCGGACAGCAGGGAGGAACTCCAGGACAAGGTGCAGCGGTGGCAGGATGTGCTCGCTGAGAATGGACTCCGGCTGAACGTAAAGAAGACCAAGTTCCTAAGCTCCGAAGAGTGCGCCGAACTCATCGTACCGCCATGGCGAGAGCATCGAAAGGGTCGAGGATTTCCAGTACCTGGGGAGCAACCTAGCAGCTGATGGCAGCGTGGACCAGGCGGTGAAGGCCCGAATCAACGCAGCCTGGATGAAATGGAGGGAGTCCACTGGCATCCTGTGCGACCGGCGGTGCTCGAGAACGCTCAAGGGCAAGGTGTACCGGGCGGTGGTAAGGCCTACAATGCTCTACGGCAGTGAGTGCTGGCCCATCTGCAAGAACCATGAAAGGCAGCTCCACTCAGCTGAAATGAGGATGCTGAGATGGGCCTGGACACGACTCGACAGAGAGACGTCAGGGCGGTCACACAGACGGCTCCGATCCAGCTGAAGGCACGAGAGCAGCGACTGCGATGGTATGGTCATGTACTGAGGAGGCCTGAAGACCACCCAATAAGGAAGGCATTGGAACTCGAGGTAGAGGGCAAGCGACCACGAGGAGCCCCAAAGAAAAGATGGAGGGACGTCATCAAGAGGGACCTCACTGAAGTGAAAGCCACAGCAGAAGATGCAGTGGATCGGAACAAGTGGCGACGTCTAATAAGAACAGCGGACCCTGCGACGGCGCGGGACTAACGCTAGGGAGAAGAAGAAGAAGACTCTCGTAGATGCTGCTGTAGATTCAAAGCAAATGCTAACTAAAGGGAACCAAGTTCAGCGTGTGATGTACTCTGAAGAGCCACCCTTGTCTTACGAGTGGAGGGCATTGCAGAAAACAAGCTTTCGCTCCGAAAGATGGCATTAGCCATGGGGTGAGCCATCTGAATAGTGTCAATTTCCGTAGTTGAGCGCAGCGGCGTGTTCACTCGGAGGTGTCAAGATTGCTGTTCCGTGCACGCCGTTGAGCAGAGTGCCGCGATCACAATCAGTCGAAGGGGCCGAAATTGCAGTGTTCGTGCATGGCGCTGAGCAGAGTGCCGTGATCATTCCATCAATCAATCGAAGGTACCAAAGCTGCTGTGTTTCGTGCATAGGATCGGGGCCAAGCAATGACGTAGCGAAAAGTGGCCGGTGCAGGCACGACACCATCCAGAAAAGGTGTTCATACAACCCCTAACGAGTTTTGGTTTCTCCAACGGTCACAAGAAAGCTCTTGC